CGGAGTCTTTAGATTGCGCGCATACTCTGAGAAAACGATATGGTCATACTTTCATCTTAGGTCCGTCCCGAAGGAGGATCGTGAGCTTTCGGTAGGTTTTTGGTATTAGTATTTCATGTCTTACATATAGTGTATTTAGTTTGCTCTCCGATACCCTAGTAGCGACCTGAGAGCTGCTGATATCTTCCCGACAACGGCAGGCGTGAGAGCTCATTATCAAGCAATCGTTAGTGACTGTATACGTACAGAAAGCAGTAGGGAGCGATGGAACAAGTTCAGCGAGGAGGTGGGTGGAAACTATACTAGGTTCACTAGCAGTGTGGTGCTGAATTTGTGATATGAAAAACACTAGTAAAAAACATATTTTACTGCATAGCTCGGATATCGGGGTTTTCACATAGTATTACGGTACTAAACGGGTGAACCTACGGTGTTGGAGGAATATATGTTCACATTCTTCGGCTGATCTCAGGAGTTTACTCACTAATAATAGGAGTTAGGATGAAAGTATTCAGAAACCAACAAGAATTTCCCAAAGTTTTTTTTGAAAAGTTCCCTGTCGTCGCCGACACGAGTAGTCGACTATGAACATGTTCCCCCCCCACACTGTGCGGAATCAGGTTGCCGATCGCTACCCGAGTTCCCTCGAAGGCGTTCATCATTCGGCAGAATTGGGAGTGTTAGGCGTAGACCTGTTCTATGCGGATGCGCAGTTGGCCAAACGCCACCTGGACGAGCTCGGTCAACGTTTGCAGGAACTGCTCGGAGCTGAGTACGATATGGTCCCGTGTGTCGTGGAGAATTATATCGTACACCAATACGAATTCTACTCGTTCAGTTCGGAGTGGTATTGAATAAATATCACTTAGAACCGGACGAGTAAAAATTCGCATATATGAGTATAAACGTCCGAATTCTTCATCAATACTATTGGTGGCATTTGGAAAATGTTCTATATTCGTTTTTGTGATTATTGACTTTTCTCTCGTTCATGGAAATTTAGTGATTGGACCGAACTTCTCGTTGGTGGTCAGATTTACGTCGTGCAAGCTGCCACCCAAAGCTAGAGTGGCGGAGGACTGCCGTCTATTCCACGGCAACGATGTTTCCACTATGGTAGATGTCGTTACCGCCTCGCTGCAGTTCGAGACACTGGAAGGCCTGTTCTCGGGTATGAGATCAATGATGAACAGCGATCAGGTGACACGGCTGTTGGTCAGCTGTAGAATCGGCTCGCTTCAGTTTAACCGTCATGACATGCGTATTTGTTGCGTGAGGAACCTCATCAACGACTATCTTTTGTCCGCCCAAGTGAGCTCCTCTCGGGGGGAACTCTGCCGGTATGGTTTCGGCAGAATTCCCCTTCGCCCCCACGGCCCCCTTGTCTGGAAGTTTATATTGGCGTATGCCAGTTTATATGCCGGTTGGATGTGTGCTTACCCGAATTCTGGGAAATGCGGAATCACGATGTTGTCGTGGTATGGTATGCACTCTACTTGATCGGCCCCAACAGGTGTTCATGATAGGCTTATAAGGAGCTGTTGGAAAAAGAGAGGTCGTTGCTTATTGCCTCTATCCACAATGAGACCTCAGTGGCACTGGGCATCATCATGGTAGGTTGCTCACCGTGCTGATATAACAATGTTCATCATCTTAGCGCACTCCGGGAATCGTGGTTGACGAGATCATACAGCTGCCGGGTGGAAGGACTGCGGCCCACTTTGCCAGCTGGCATGGCAATATGGGGCTGTGTCAGTAAGCGATGAAATT